ATATGTCCCTTCATTTGAAGGGATCCAAAATTTGCAATTTTATATGTTAGTAAAACATTGTCTATTGTTAGTACTCGCTTGTGCCTTAAATGATTTCAAATAATTCTAAAGCGTTGTTTCTAGCTAAAATTAGGTTTTAAAACTGTGGCTCTTAAAATACCATTAAGAAAATTTCACTCTTAAAAGTAATATGTTTAATGAAGTTTTTATAAAAACAAAGAACATGTTTTGTTTTTATGCTCCTTGGTGTTATTTCTTTCTTATACTTATAGACTTAAGTGATCTAATTACAAATTGCCTCCCTTGTTTGACTTTTGTACTTACAAAAGGGAGGTAATTTTCATTAGGCTATGAATTGATTCAGATGCCTCACTTATAACAGAGCCTACAACACGCTGAGAGTAGATTGGTGGTTAAATAAAGTTATATTGTGTTATGTTAGGTATTGGTGGCGATACAGAATAATATACAATATTTAACACTCTACCTTTAATTTTTTTACTCTTTTGAGTCTAGAATTTTTCCGTGACCAGAAAGATGCGCAACGGAAAACAACGCATCGGAAAAAAGCGCAAAACAAATGCGCAACGGTAAAAAAGCGCAAACAGAAATTTGCTCACATAGAAAAATGCGCATAGAAAAAAAGAGCAAACAGAAAAATGCGCATACAGAAAAATGCACAAACAGAAAAGTGCGCATACAGAAAAAATGAGAAAATAAGAAATTACGCACACAGATCTTTCGTCAATTATGTTTCAAGCACACCTCTAGATTTTTATTTGTTATTTGGCTTTTTTTACTGTTTATTCATGCAAAAAAAAAAAAAAAAAAAAAAAAACGCTTGCTCGCATGAATATGTTGACCCAAAGATTGTCAGCACGATTTTTTTTTCAAGCTTTTCGAAATTAAGTAATTTACCGCTCTCCGTCTCTTCAACAAAAAAAAATATTTTTTTAAACAATCCACTTCTTCAAGCAAGGCATAGGCTGGATTTTCCTTTCTAGCAGTTTTACATTTAGCACACTTAGTTTCTTTGTGATATCTACCATGACGTTGAAAGTTTTAATTCGGGATGGACAATTTAAAATAAAGTACATTAAAATAGGGCGCAACTTAATATTTTAATAGAATAGCGAGTATTTATTGTTTATATTTATTATTAAATCGTTCAACATCGAGTGTTGCAGAAAAATATTTTTATGAGTTTTAAAAATAAAATAATAATTAATATTTGTGCATGGAGCAGAAGAGCCGCATCTTGACATCAAAAGAGCCGCAGGTTGCCAACCCCTGGTCTATGTCACTGATTTGTGCTTCCTGTTAAGAAAATTAAAAACTTTATATTTTTTAAACAAAAGATGTTCTGAAGACCGATCATGGTGAAGAGAGCGAGGGTCTACAAATGATGCCTTGTGATTTTTTCCAAATTTCAACTAAGCCCCGCCCAATTAAAAAAAATGTTTAAATATAATTTTTGTTTGGTTTCGCTTGTCTAGATAGTACTCTCTAAAGCTCTGGGCGTGAGAGGAGTTGTGAAAAAGTCACGTCTGCTGATTATGCTGGGCCAGACCAGGATCCATCTTGATGACGTGGAGGGGCTCGGGCACTTCATGGAATTAGAAGTAGGTAACCATTTTAATTGGGGGGGGGGGGGGAGCAGAGTTACTTCCAGGCATCTCTTCGGGGGGGCTAAGCCCCCCCCCCCCCCCCCCCCCGAAAAATTTTTACCGCCCCCCCGAACGAAACGAAATTTATATAATTTATATAGAAAATTTATACTTTTAACAGTGTCCGCCCCCCCCGAAGAAAGTCTACCGCCCCCCCCGGAGAAAAAAAGTCTGGAAGAAACACTGGGGGGGGGGGGGGGGGTTGAGGAGTTGGTGGTGGGACTGTCGATTAATGAGTTCACTAACTTAATGTGTAATATTACGCGGTTTCCATAAACGATGTTGTGTGTTTAAGTACTTTAAGCTTGCAGTTTTAAGACACTGCATGTTCAAGTGTCACACTTTTAACTGATATTTACTCCTCCCCCCCCCCCCTAAATCCTTATCGTCATAGAATGCCAGACCCTCGTCCATAGCCCCCCCTCCACCCCCTTCAAAATTTATTTTTCAACCAGCTACTTCTTTCTAAATTATTAACTGTAATCGGTCAATATTGAGTTTAATGATCAATTTTAATTCCAGTTCACACAAAATCGTTCTAAAAAACGGAAAATGACGTCTGAAATTCAGTTTCTACATTATTATTTCTTAAAGGGCTAAATTGTGTCATCACTCTTTCAAAACCTCCCCCCCCCCCCTCAAATGTCCTTAGTAAACAATTTTTTTTTTAATTATCAAGTGCATACAATAGCAATTAACTCAATTACTGAAAAATAATTTAGATCTAAGTGCTTTGATTTAAAAGAATATTTTTTAAATATATATTTAAATAAAAAGTGTTTTGCTGAAAAATAGCCCAGTTTTAATAAGTTCAATTATTATTTGACACATTTTTAAAAAATCTAAAGAACTGCTAACAATGTTAAAGTTAACGAAACAACAAGAATGGATGTTTTAAAAAAATTGTTTCTGTAAGAACTGGTATTTCAATATTTTTAAAAGTGTTTTACCATAAAATAAGATATGACCTAGCATAAATATATTTTTTTTTTTCCTACCAAAATATTTTATTTTCCGTAGGTAGTTCTTGGTGATGATCAGACAGTGGAGTACGGCCAACAGATAGCCAGTGACATTATGAACAAACTAGAGATTAGTGAAAACGACTTGTTACATTCGGCCTACATGGATATGCTTCTAAGCAAATAGTATGAGGATGTTTTGCCTCATGTGTTTATCTCATCTAATTATGTGTTTATCTCATCTAATTATGTTTCAATAAACAAATTTTGTAAATGCAGTTGTTTTGTCTGTTTGTGAATATTTAGAAGTGCTTAATTTTGAAAAAAAAAATCCTTAAGCATTCGTACATAAATAACGTCACACTGCTTTGGGGAGGGGTTCGTAATTTTGTGACCATGTGTAGTGGGGGGGGGGGGGGGGGTTAAAGATAGTGTGACGTCACTTTTTAAAACAGTAATGTCTGAAACTGAATTTTAGCCGTTATCAGAGGCGTAGCGATGGGTGCAGGAGGGGGGGGACACATATCCCCGGGCGCCGACCTTAGGGGGCGCCAAAATGGGTTGGAAAAAGTAATCGAAAGTTTGAGGGGGGGGGGGTGCAAATTGAAAAATTGAGGGGGGGGGGGGAATTGTTGCAAATCGAAAGTGGGGTGGGGGGGGGGGTGCAAATCAAAAGTTTGAGGTGGGGTGCAAATCGAAAGTTTGTCCCCGGGAAGGGTCGCTACGCCTCTGGCCGTTATTATAGTTTATAATGAAATCGACGTTTAAAAAAAATGCGACTGTGAAGGTGATTTTGGGTTACAGCCTTTTAGGGGGGTGGGGGGGTGGCTAGTTATTTGTGACGGGGTGGGGGGGGGGGGGAGATAAATTCGTCAGAAAAAACGTGACGTCACGCATGGATGTCACACCATCTGAACCCCCCCCCCCCCCCCCCCCCCAATTACGGACCACCCTCACCCCCTACGAGTGTGACGTCATTTATGGACGACCCCTAAGTATACATTTCATTCTACTGCAGTCTGAGTTACAGTAGACGTAAAATTTTGAATGGAAAGTCAATTATATGTAAAATAACTGTCCTCGTGTATACATTTGATTGTACTGCAATGTTGATTTCTTGGTTGGGGCACTGGTTCAAACATTTGAGATGGTAGACTCATGTATTTATGCAGTCTTCTTCGTTCTTAATTGTGATATATTTTTATTGATTTTCTCAAACATAATTAAATATTATGCGCCAATATGGTATGTGCTATATGGCATTAACTGCAGCCTGCTTTTCATACTGGGTGTGTTACCATAGCCTTTCTCCACCAAAGAGTAATCCATATGAGACTAGACAATGTTATTGTTATTATACTTGCACTATCTTATCAAACAAGATCAGATAATTCTCAGAACCAAAGATACTTGTATTTACTGCACCTTCAGTTTTCCAAAGAATAAAAAGGCAACAATTAACAATCAATATAAATAAACCAATACATCATCATGAACATCATTTGGAGCCAGATAAAGATGACACAGAACAAATAACTCTTGAGATTTTTGGTTGGCTGCCCATTCAATAACAAGGGTGATGAGCAGAGATAAACTTGAAACAAAGTTGTGTCAAAGGATATATTTCAAGGGAAGTAAGTGAGACTAAGGGACATAATTATGTAACAGAGTTATCACCAAAAAGCACTTTATTCAAGAAAACATTTGGCAATATTTGTACACTTATGAGCTATAGTTTATAATATGTCAACAATAATGGCATTTTTTAACATTTAAATAAAAAATATATACAATGGTCTACATATAACTATTATAACTCTCAAAACAATGTACGTTTAGTTTTCCAATACCACCAGCTTTAGGGGATTTAAACTTACAGAAGGATAATTTATTGCAACTTCACGTGAGGTCAGTGTGTTATTTAAATCCAGGAGAAATATATATATATATATATATATATATATATATATATATATGTTCTGTTATTTCGCTAAAAACTGGAAGACATCATTTCTAATCAAAAATACAATAAGACCTAATTAATGGTATACTGATGCAAACATCTTTTTTTTCTCAATACTACTATCAATCCGTTAAGTAATTTGAGGACAAAGGAGCTATGGTGCTGGCATTCATACCCTCTACAGCACATAGATAAGAACTAACTTGTAATTCGATATCATATATGATATTAGCTGTTTTCTGGTTATAAATTAATGTAGAGAGAATGTTTTGTAATATATTCATCTTCTTCAAAACTAATCTTTTTGGGCTTTATCTCAAACAAAAATTTATTTTAAAAAATTTCATGAAATAAGCATGCAAATACATTGCTGTTAGCACATTTTAGTCTTTTTAAACACAATTTGCCAACATTATCAACAAATCATTGAATGTAAACTCACAATGGAATGTTTAAAATTATCAACCAGTTTTTTTTGGGTAAATAAATTTTCAATAGAGAACACATTGGATACCCATAAATGTAAGGTGTCAGATAAAGCAAAACATATAAATATAACTACCAGTAATAATTTACAATTTAAAGCTAGGAGTATCTGCATGACTAGAAATATATTTATTCTGCTAAAACAAAACACAACTTTGTTTCACTTAGGTTACTATTGTATCTAGATCTAAAAGCTCATTAAACCACATTGTTTAATTTATATTCAATGTAAAAATTGGTTGGTTTGAAAAAAAAAAGCCAAAAGCTCATTTAATAATACTAATAATAAGACTTAAAAATGTATCTACCCAGAAACAGATAATTATAAGCCGCTTAAACAACAATTTAAATAAATGAAACTAATATCTGATCAGATAAAAAATAGAAATAGTCAGACAGGTTTTTAGACGGATTGTTTTACCCAGTTCATGTTATAACATTGCAAACATCATTTTAAAAAACCCTTGAAAAAAATCTGCCCATTTTTATAAATTTACTCTGTACCTGTATGCCAAAACTGAAGCCAACAGGGATGTCTAGGGAGACTGCAAAATTAATAGCTGGGGATCAGATGAAATGGAAGAAAATGGTGGAGGCCCTATGTTCCATAAGCATCAAAGAGGGTTAAGTCACCGCTATGCCAAGGTAATGATAATTTTAAAAACAGTATTTTTTCTATATTTGTTTATGTCAATACAGATCCAATTTTATGTGAACCAAAAAGGGAGATAATGTTGAATAACTCAAAAATATGTGAATCATAAAGGGAGATAATGTTGAATAACTCAAAAATAAAAAATATGATCAAATGCATTGTCAACAGTTTACTCATCTGTTGTGCGCAGCTTTGATATATATATATATATATATATATATATATATATATATATATATATATATATATATATATATAATATAGTATCATTTAAAATCTTTTGAAACAGCAATACATAAAACCATTGTATGTTGACAGTAAAAATAGCTGGATGTAACTTTAATTTAAGGCCAAATACTCTTAAAAATACATCAACTCACACATTTTAATTTATTTGATAAAACTTTTAACAATATAGAAAACTTTATTACAATCACACTCAAATATGCAATCTTAACACAAATAGCTAATAGGGCCATATATTTGTTTTATGAATATATGTATATGCTGTGCTGCACTATAATAATCAAACAAATAATAAATAAGCCTCATTAAATTGACAAACTGAGACTAAATTACGACAATGTAGTAATTTTTGTGTTTGAATACACCGTACACAGTAAAACCATTCAACTTAACTGTGAAATAATTATGAGAAAAGTTTTGTAATTTGACTAGGTGTGTAAAACTGCTAACTCAATGGTTAAAGAAACACCTTTTAAAAATTGGAACACACCAAATAAATAACAACAGCTCTGCTTCAACATGAGATATTTGAAGGCATGTGATCATTCTCCTCGTGAACATTTTTGCCATGACAAAAAGCTTCCACCACATGCTGTAAAGATTCATGAACAACAGCCGAATCTACCTCTAGGTGTTCATCTACTACTTCATGCAGCGCACTTGGATCACTGATAATAATGTTTATCTCATTATTTTCACCCATAACAATCTCCACATTTGATGTGTCATGGTTAATCAGCCCAGCGGCTATCGTATGCTTGGCAAAGTTCTGATTGTCTTGGCTGACCAGAATTTCATAGTCCCCACTTTCGTGGGCAGCTTTGATCATTTGTTCCACCATTGGCTCTATCACAATGTCCTGAGAGGTCTCAACGTCATCATCGTCCATCACTTCAGTTTTTGTCACAACACCGTCCAGTAGCTGCTGTATGGATGAATCACACTTTTTCGCCCTTGTTTTGTACTGTTTCCGAACTTTACTCACTTTACAATGTTTACGGTTGTATAATTTAGCTTGAGAAGGAGCGATAGGAATGGGGGTCTCCAGTTTCATGTGCTCTTCGTACTGAAAGAAGTCCTCCTTGTGAACTCTCTGTACATGCATCTGCATATGCTTTCTCTGGGTGCATTCTTTGTCACACCAGGCACAACGGTAATTTATCTTCTGGTCATGCGTGATTTTGTGACGTTTAAGGTGACATTTGAGGGCAAAAGATATCTCGCACTGATCACACTGGTATGGTTTTTCACCTGTATGCTGTGACAGATGAATTCGGTAGTTTCCCTTTTGAGAGAACCCCCTATCACAAAACTGACATTTAAAAGGAGTTTCTTTAGTGTGAATTAACACATGAACTTTAAGCTCTGGTTTTGTACGGAATGTTTTGCAGCAGATTGTGCAGCTGTGAGGCTTTTTGTCCGTATGGCAACGCTTGTGTTTTTGGAGGTAGTCGTTTAACGCAAACGATATCCCGCACAACTCACATACAAATTTACCACCATTGTGGTGAACTTTACGGTGCTTGTTCAACTTCTGTAGAGTGAGGAAGTTCTTTTTGCAAGTTTCGCACGTGTATACAGCCTTTTTCCTGTGCCTCTGCACATGCTGTCTCAGAAGGATGTGGTTCTTGAAATCCTTTTTACAAATTGCACATTCTAACTTCATGTTGACATGTATCCTTATATGTGTCCTTAAGGCTTTGATATCGGAGTGTACCTTTGGACACGACGGGCAGTGATAGTTTCCTTCTTCGTCTTGATAAATATCTGTGTTGGATTTTCCTGCTTTCCTGTAAGCAGTTATGTCCATTTCACATTTTTTCAATGCTTCCTCAACCAGGCCTTCCTCTTCTTCAACCGGCAAGCCAGAATCAACAGCGTGATTTTGCAGC